TACATTCATGAAATTTGAAAGTAGAACGTTTGGGCCGCAGAACCCAAGTGATATCCATCACACACGACCACCCAAATCGGCCTTGCATACAGGCTCTGATCACCAAGCTACCCAACTCATATGTCTTCCTATAGAGACTCATAGAGCGCAGAATCAGATAACGGGTAAGCTACATAGGTGCATATTCAAAACAACCCTATAAAGCTTCAAGAGACCGCACAAAGAACGCTAAGTTCATGATATATCACTCGTCATTTCTAATGACTAATATGGTACGCACACTCTCAAAGGTGACACGGCGACATACGGAAGTGGAACAATTGTGGCTGTAATAGGGTCTATTTCTAGCCATTCTGCTGCATCATTGCCACAGATCAGTCAGGTTTGCTTTTCTAGGGGTATAAATGGGTATAATACTGTTCCGCTTTGTTCAGTCTTGGCGCTTTTTACATACAAAAATACCGAATTTCAAGCTCTAATAACTTCACAACTAGAACAGATATCAAAAATCTGCTCGGTATTGTTATACTTCATTGCTAGTACTGAAATTATACCGAGCCGATTTCTTTTGACTTTTTTGTTAAAAAGTTATTAGCCATCGACCTCCCTCCAATTTTCGGTCACCTTTAAGAGTGGGCGCACCATATACGAGTGATATATCATGACATCACACTGACCCTGACCTCCACAGTTAATATCCCCGATGGTGTACGTATACCTGCGGGGATCATTTAGGTTCCAGTGAGATACCTGTAACTGCCCAACAGAAACAATATGATGCCAGTCTTTCGCGCCGATGTGTACATGTATCATAAAAGGTTGGTAACGAAGACAGGTGACTGCTTGCTCCCGGAATGTTGATATATCACGGTCGACATGTACGCTCATTCAATCTGATTGGTCGAGAGAGACGGGGGCGGTTTAGTAAGCACAACACATCAAAATTCTGAGCACTCACGATTGAACGGGACCGAAGGTCCTCCATAATTGTGATTTGGAGAGAGTAGGAAGTAGAAGTGGGAGGGGGGAGGGGCCGAAGGCCCCCCCATTGAAGGACTTTCACAATTATTGAACACTTGGTTGATACCCATAATCCAAAATACAACTCGCGGTCGCGAGGTGGGCCACTACTAGTGTTAAATGTATCGAAACATATTATTACGTACAGCCCGCTTCATACTTATCGGCCTCCCGTCCTCGGTTTCTACACCGCTCGCTCCTCCCTCTCCCGAAATCTCTTCCAACCTTCTTCGTAGTTCTTCATCTGCTTCGGCGAGACTTGATGCCTTTTTTGGTGTTTTTGCCACAGTTGAAGCCGTTGCGGGCTACGCAATGCGAGACCTGTGTAAGCGTACAGAAACGTACTCACAACGGAATAGATCTACAGTACCGTGATATAAGTCACCGTCTTGAAGCAAAACACACCAAAATTGGCAAAAATGGGAACCTTCTCGAACCTTCAATTCTTGATCAATTACCATAGAACTCTCAGTATAGGAACATACACTATAAAGGAAAATATGTTCTGAGCTGTAGCTCTTTTCATCAAATATGTGGAGAGTTATGAGGCCTTGAATTTGCAAATTCTCCATGGGATTTGGTCGAATTTTGCCAAGACCCCATACAAATTTGGGGTCTTGGCACATTTTCAGAGAACAACCAAACAAAATGCTATACCAACAATGCTAGAATGTTTATTTTTGAAATTAAGAGCCTCCAGATGATTTTCCTGGATTATGGTTTTTCGAAACGTTTGAGCCTTTGCAATTGATTGGCTGAAAGGTGCAGGGGTGGTTTAGTAAGCACGACACATCAAAAGTTGCACAAAAGCGCAAACGACAAGACTGGGCGCATGACGGTATGAGGGGATCGATTATACTACGGGAGGTAGTCAACTATGGCAGGTAGGCAATTATATGTATCGGGAATGAGAATTATTGGAGCTGGAAAGTAAGAGGGAGTGATTTTTAAATTTTGGATATGCACTGGACTGATCGAGAGGATCAAATTTCGCTGGAAACCGTAATTTAGAGCACAAATAAATGGGCCACTACCGGAGGAGGTGGTCGGAGGTGGCCAAGTGGAGCTGGACAAGTACTGGAGCTGGCCATGGTCAACTGCGAGAGCTGGCAATGGAGCTGGGAATGGGCGACTGGGAAAGCTGGCCAACTCCGGGAGCTGGCCATGGGCAACTGCTATACTGGAGATGGCTAAGGGATATATTAACTACTGGAGATGGCTAAATACTTACTATGTGTACTGGAGGTGGAAAGTACTAAATGTAGGTGGGACCTCGCGATCGCGAGGTAGGCCACTACTAGTAGGTACAGTACAAGTTTCTACAATCCTAGGCTATAGGCTGACCACTCGCTGTGTACCTACATCGCCCATCCGGATCAATCCAATTGGACAAAAGCCACAAGTACATGTAGGCATCCAAGTACGTAGAGTACCGGGTGTTCACCATTAATGTGAAGAACTCTGCTTTATTGGTTGAAAATGTAGGGATTTATATGGGAGCCACGAATGGGCAACCAATTATCATCAATCACACCTGCCTTAGCGCACCAGATTTGTATGGGGGAAAAAAAGTCTGAAGAACTTTCATATACATATCTTCACTCAAAAAATCTAAATATTTTGCTAAAAATAAAACAGAATAGCGCTCGCTCCCAGCTTCCTCTAGATAATCTTTTGAGCTCATAAGCCCTTGTTGTGAGTGTTTTCTGATGAAGTTAGGTTTGTGGAAATGACGGCGACAGCTTACCCCAAATACTTGCGCCTTGGTTGCCAAGTGTAATTTTAATTCAACAGCCCAATCAGAGAGCCCTAACTAGGCCCTCATTTTTTTAAAATTCCCCAAAACGGGGTTCTCTATACTTACCCTCAACCCCCGGTACATGTGTACTTATACCACTCTACAGTCTACTACAGATCATCCCTTGTCAATCGACTACTATCTCAAGCAGCCCTATATGCTAGGTGTGGCATCGCAGAGTTCAATTTGAGAACATGGGTTTGTAGAAGGTGGAGTGCAAAGATCGATCTGAGCCCTAGGATATTTTAAAGAATGTATGCAGTGCATCCACAGGCTTTCAATCAGTGTAGGGGTGCAGAAGAGCAGGGGTCAAGTAATCTTAAAGCTGAGGAAGATGGGATTGCAAAGATAAGATCTTAAGAATGATATATAATAATTCCAGGTAGTTACAGGTAAGCAAGGCTCTGCTTGTTTTTCTAATCGTGTTTCGGGCAATTGGGCAAGTCTTGGTGCGGTACTACCTACCTGTGCATGTGGCCCAGCAAAGATCGAACTGTATCGCTAGAAGCAGAACAAAATCAAAAGGGAATCGAGGCTATAACTTCGCAATTCACTTTATTCGATCAATGTATGCACCTACCTCCAGCTCTTATAATTGATGAAGAGGGTTTATGACCTTTTCAGCCATACATATACTACTGACAGCCATACTTTAGAACGGATACAGGCTGTTTACCAACAGAGGAATTTGGTCTAATCGAAATCAAGTGACCCCGGTTGGTGGTATGCGCGTAGCTTACCCCAGATGCAAATTGTCACCTACCAATCGAACCAATGGCCGGGTCATAGGCTAGGAGCCTCACCTTCAGAGTAGTGCGGTGAAGTACCGTCAGCCAAACACACCGGTCCCCATAATTATAACCTATATTTAGTAGATGGTGCCTGCTCTACCTTGCTCAACACCAGATAGATACAACAAATATGCTCTCACTAGTTAGTAGGCAGCAATTCATAGGAGACTGGAGAACTCTAGGGCGGTAAGAGGGCCAGGATAAAGATTACGCCGATTCTACTGCCCCACAAACGCCCATTGGACATTGATCCAGAAAGGGCTATACCCACATGTTCGTTACTCACAATGTTTTCAGACTGGTTATACATTTACCTGTCTCCAAAATCCTGAATATTCCTAGGCCGTCTAGATCAATTAATCCTTCGCGGTAAGCTAACCACCGGTACGCGGTGCCAGTCCGAAGCGTCTTGTCTCGACCAATAAGAAAATCCCAATATTTCGCATAGCGGAAATGTAAACCGCACTCCGATCGATAGAATCGCCCCCCAACATGCGGCGGGGGCCCAGTACTGGCACAATTAACGCTAGCCTCGTTTTTGACAAGGCTGAGAAAATAACAAGTAGAGACAAGGCTGACAGAGACGTATTAGTACTGACCGGGGCGAACCGATGTGTTACAATTGGTGAGACAGGTTCCAACCCCTACATGCATGCGACCATCCTTTGCTGCCAACGTTTGAGCGGCCACCCCGCCCTATCTATGGCGAGGCCTGTATTGTTAGAACTACATGTAGGTACAGACGGTGTATATTTGAGGGGTTTCAGGTGCACTGTGGACGGTGCACGAAAGGTTGGCAGCTTGATGGCGCCATTTTGAACTCTGCTGGTGGGGAGGCTTGGAACACTACATCATAGTCCTCATCAATTAGTATTGGTTTGATTGTTCACATCTAATTGCGCATGTGTGGAATTCTTTATCATACACGCTATAAAAATAACACATTTTTTTTTAACAAAGGAGAAAAATCATAGGGAGTGATCAACAAGAAAAACTATGGAAACCAAACTAAAGAAAATGGGAGGGGGACATGTCTGGCGTATTCGGCTGCCTCAAAGCAAGTGAAGGATCGAATGCTCTCACCGAGAAAGTCGAAAGTTAGAAAAGACATAAACCAGCAACCCGCGTACACGCACACAAAGAAAGATTACTTGAGAGGCGACCTGACTCCACCAGGGCCTCTGTCCGACTATGAATGACCATTTCACATTTCGTATACCCCCTTGCCCCGTATTATCCCCGCCTACCCCTGCGAACAACATTTGTCGAGATTATGGCCGTAGATGATTGCATGTTTTCGAACTTTGCCGCAGAAAGTTTTATTGAGCTCGAGCTTGATGTGCGCTAGAATGCACGCCTTTGGAGAATTTCGTTCCCAACACTTCGTATCTCTATCCACCCATCATGCCCATTTTTCCACGCTTGTATTGTCGCTTTTTATTCCCACTCATACTGGGTTCGATATGTGATGTGTTATTGTCAGGCTCCCCTTTAGGCTCTGAAGGTGCAAACAAAACTTCGTCTTCTTGCCAATCAGGAAATCTTTGCTTCACAGGCGTACCGAATGACTTGCGTTTCGCGGATGAAACATCCTTTTCTTTACTCCATTCAGGCGACAAAATGCGCATAAGAGCTGAAGCAGCTATTGCCGTAACACCGCGTGCATTTGCCTTAACTCGCATATTCCGATCCTCAGTGATTAGCACAGCTGGTTCAGCGTCTCCCGCCTCCTTAAGAGCCTGCCTCCGAATATCTCCCTGCTGCTTTGTCGTTTGAATAATGATATCATCTATATTACGGATATCCTCTGCGCCCCCGAGTTGCTCCTTGTAGAATCCGGTGTATGTCACGTTATTGCCCTTGGATGTGATAACCTTAATATCTTTCTTTTCATTCAGATAATCGCTGATGAGTATGATTGCGGAAGATGCTGCTTTCTGTACAGTTCCGGAATTCTTTGCTAGACCAACCAACTCAGTGATCACTATACGCCACAAATCAGTTACTAGGCTGGACACTCTAAGACACTCTAAGACACTCCAAGATAACACTTTAAGATACTCCGAGATAACACTTCAAGACACACCAAGATAACATACCACAATTAGGGATAACAATTGCCCAATTACCCGAGGAAACTATAAATTTAAAGGTCTCGGGATGGCTCAACAGAAGATTGGTGTCTACCACAAGTATCTAAATAAAGTCAAAATCGGAAGATAGCATATGTTGATTTAGCTCCCACTCACAGTATATTGCGGCTTTAACGCTTCTGGGCCCTTAACGAGAGAATGTTTGACTTCGGGTGCCACATCAGGCGTCCAGCTGGACTTCAGCTGAGCTTTTAACTGACGTTGTTGTTCTTTAAGGCGGCGAAATTCTTCGGATTGGCCCACAAGAACATAATCATCATCATCAGATTCATTGTCTTCATCCACAGCAGTCATATCAACGTCAGAATCGTGCTCAGATTGTTCTGGTAGACCATCTGACGACAGATAGTTGGGCGTAGACGGCGCGAGTTTGGCATAATTTTTAGACTCGTCAATTCTCTTTAAGAGCGAAGGGTGAGCTGAAAAGATCCCATTGCTGTATATCAAGTGATCACCGCTCTATGATTATATTAGTTATTGCTGGGATATTTATGACGTCTATATTGGTCCACACTCACAGCAGCAATCCTCGTGGCAATCCAAAGAATCCTTTCAATTCTAATATTTTCCATAGATGGCAATTCCATCAATCTCTCCTCATCATCAACCTGGGCATCCTCAAACCAGCCGTATGGAAAATAAGCTTTTGCCCAGTCAAGTCCACGTAGTGTATAATCCTCCGGCAATGGGCGCCCAATCCCCTGCTCCGGAATTGGAAAATTTTCAGATTCAAATTTGTCGGTCTCAAATTCGCCGATAAGAGAATTGAGTAGGGAGACTAGCGCTTCCCAGGGGAAGTCATTCTCTAACAATCTGATGGCCGGCTCGGAGGATTTTATGTGCAACATGAATACGAGCCAGATATGGATATGTGGCAGAACGTCTGTTTCTCCTCTTTCTAATGCAATTGTTAATATCTCGTATGCTAAACGCTTGGAGTAGTTCAAAGATATCTCCTGGGCTGTGAGGCCTCCTGAAGAGAGCATGGCATCCCCAGATTTATTTTGATACTCGCGCTCTAGTTTAGATATGGGTTGAAGAAGCGAAGTAACATGCTCAGAGCTGGCCTCGTTGGGGATTGGTGGAAGAAGGTCAAATTCGGCAGTGCTGGCATCTCCGGAGGTGTTTGAGGCGGAAGTGTCGTCTGTTTCCTCCGCTTTGCGTCCTTGTCGCCAGGCCTGACGCAGAAGACTGTCTTTTGCGCCATATTGGAATAAGCCCGTGATATTGCACACAGCGATATATGCACCAGAAACCTATGCAAATTTAATAACCTGCGCATAGCTGAGGAGCGGTGATAAGTAAAAGAGAATGTATATACACAAACCTTCCATTTCGACTTGGGATCGCTGATGTGTTTGTCCAGGACGCCCAAGAAATCGTCAAGCGCACCTTCAAACTTCTCGAGATCAATGTGTGTAAAATTGATTCCGTGTAATTGAATGAAAGCAGTATCCACCGGCTGAGCTCTCTGTGGCCTACTATCAGGTGCAAAGATTGGATCGAACAGTGTGAGTATGCTCTCCCTAGACGAAGAGAATGGGTGGGTCACGCCTAGACTCTTGCAGTAGTAAAACAGCTGCTGTAGAATATTAGGTTTGGCCAAGATAGCTAGGTGATGATGAAGGCGCCCAACATAGGGGGTCTTATCAACTGCTTTAGAATACCAGAAACGCGCCACGTTCGCCCATGTATCCCGGTCACGTATATCGTCGTCTTCGATAGCCATACGATAACGACCAAGATCGCCAAGACACTCGATCCAGGTGTCCTCAAAAGCGGGCACGGTTTCATACACTAAGTAGAAATATTAGAATAGAACTTGGGGGTGCTCGCGGATAACTTACGAAGGGCCATCATGCTATACGCTAAATAAATAAATGTCAACATGTGCTCCAGGGAGTGCGGTAATCTGTGGCGAAGTAGTTCCAGAAAGCTATGTATCCCATGTTTCCACATGCGCGCGGGCATCGCATAGCGAAGGGCCAATTTTCGTAAAGAAGGGCTTGCACTAGGATGCTGCGAAGCAAGGAAGAAATCGTGATGCTCGTGTAAGAGCGTTCGGTGCAGTGCTATAAGTGCTTGCCACTGCTCGTTGTTTAACTTGGGATGTTTATCCGGTTCTAAGGCAGCTGCGGCTTGCTTTTTGTCCACCTCCGAGCATTTTGTTTCAACCATCATAAGCCCAGCATATATACCTTTAACTTCTATTACCAACTGCTCGGGACTGATCGGCCTTGTCTCAGGCTGTGGAACCATCCGTGGAATGTCATCATCCTCTTCTGTATGGCTTGATTGAGGTTGTTGAGTCTGAGTTTGCATGTTATTCAAGATCATGATTTTACCACCTTCCCTACTCCCTTGCAACCCAGGCTGCTGCTGCTGCTGCTGTTGTTGAGTAGGCGCATTTACATTTCTTGGCGGCTGAGCTCTGGGATTGAACAATTTGTTGTCTTTCTTTTTTTCTCTTTTAGGACGAGGATTTTGCGACGATCGGATTGCAGGAGGGGGATCTTCAAGCCGTTTTGAAGAATCCTCTTCGACCCTGAAAGCGCTGGGCGGGTCTCTTTGCGGGTCATACAAGCGCCGTTGTTGCATCGCCCTAACGGGCCCACCGCCTTCATCTTCGCCAGGATGGTCAAATTCATACCGAGACCGATCAAACTCAGGATCTAAGGGTTGGTTTTTTCTTGGACGCCCGGAAACTTGACGGTTCAGTTAGTTCAGATCTTACAATCACTGGGTAATTCTTACCTGGGCTTCCGATTCCCCGACCTACTTCGAACCGCTTCGGAGCTTGCGCGCGTGTTCGCTTGGGCGATTGGACTGCATGGCTCTCACGAATTTGCTGCACTGGCGATCCAATTGCCTCCATAGATGAGTCTCCGGTGCGTTTACGGCCGTTGCGGGGAGAGCGTGCTGGTTGAGATTGATCTACGTCGTACATTCGGACATCCGCATCTTGCTCCAAAGTAATACCGGAAGTCTTTTGCTCAATCTCCTGGACTCCGTGATGTCCTGCAAGTTCCCCTTCACTTGGCCAAGCAGCGCCATGTCCCAGCTTCTTGTTGACTTTTCGAGATTGAGGCTGAGCTAGATCCCTTACCTGCCACTGTAGAGAGTTCTCCCCAGAATCCTGAGCACAAAAGCGTGTGGTAGTATCGATTACTTTTTCTGGTACCCTTGAACTCGCGCGCGCTGAAGGACTTCCCGTATTTCTAGATTAGATAAATTGTGAGATAATAAGTCATGACTACACATAGGCGGAGCTTGATAGCTTAACCAACCTAGCACTATGGTGATTACGCATCACTTGGGTTATCTGAGAATTGATATCCGTAGCCTGGATATTGTTTGTGCCCATGTTGAGATTGTGTGCTTGTTGTTTGTGAGGGTTGTGGGGAGACGAAATTTTTGACCTTGGAATTCAGTCCTTAGGTCAGTACGTGTTCTTTGTAACAACAAACCGATCGCGACACTATCCAGGCGGTGGCGTGCTGCAATAACCATTTCATTAACACTTACAGAGTCTGAGAGAATTTTATTTCCTTTGTAATATTAAGGTTCCTCAACCAATGTCAACCAATGCCGTCCTTGTCAACTAAGAATTCTGTTGATAGATTATAATCCAGTTTCACTGAGAGCTCATGGCTAGATAAGGTATATGCAGTCCGTAGGAAGGAGTTGTGTGAGATCTCGAGAACTTTGGAAAAAAAACTACAGTAATTACAACCTTCTTCTCGCGGGCACTTATGGCTGGGTTTGCGGCTCTGCTGTCGGTTCGCCATCCTTCGCCTGACTGCGCACAGGCAGAAACATAGACGCACTTCGCACATTGTGCGAAGTGTGGACAATACAAAATCAAAAATCCGAATGGGTTACATGGGATACATGTAAGTACTTCTACAAGTCATTCCTAGGCCGGCTGATGAGGGGCGCAAAAGCAAGGTAAAGGGGCTGGTACAGTATGTACCTATATTCGCCATTGCAATTGATTCAGGTTCGCTATTAACCCAGAAATGACTGTATTCGTTTTTTTCGGTGCGAATTAGCGCTAGCTCGCATACGGTGGACTAGAGCCGCACGGCTCTAGTCATATCTCCGATTGTGCTGGCCCGACACTAGCAAGGCTATGATTGGTCGAGGAGCTACGCGGTAGGGATAAAGAGGTCAGTTCTGTATTTCCCATCTTGGCTTAGTCGCTCCTATGGGTGGGGTATCCTGTGGGCTTTGATGATGAGGCTCTTTTACAGCTGCAGCTAGTTCACTCAGTGAGTTCTATCGAATTATATATTGCTACTAAAGCTTAAAAGCCCGGCTGGATGAGAACTAAATATTCAGCCTTTCTGCCTTCATGAGCTGGTCCAACCAGACCAACTACTCCCACACAAAGGTATTTGCCAACCTGCCAGCCTGGATCTCATTCCAACAGTTGGGTACGATGTATACCCGCCCTGAAGTCAATGCCGCTCAATCTGGTCTAAAATCCGCTTGGAAATGAACAAAAAAGCCCTCTCTTTGCTTTATATTTTCCCACGGCTAGGCAGCATCGTTACATATAAGCTGTGCTAAACATGCAATTTCAACAGGCGAACAAAGAACAGGTTACTCAACTTCTCATCCATGTCAGCATCACACTATCATATCATTACCACATGATTATGCTTTGTGAGGTTTGAAGTCAAAAGCACATTGCCTAAGGTTTGTTTTACCTATGCCGTATCTTACTTACACGTATTTGGCCACAATACACTCAACGCTACGTACATGATGTACAATGTAGCCTCGCCTTGTATTATACCAGGAAACACCAAGTACAGTTTTAAATCATTCTAAGACATGAATATCTCCCTCAATGTCGAAGCGTCAATTTTCCGAAGTCCCGATGCGCACACTTTCGAGGTTTTGAGGGACGCCTGCTAGTTGGTGGACCTATCATACCGCACCTGTCGGTTAGAGACCTCGAACTTAATGCAAATTAATACGCTTCCCGGTCTATGAAGCAAAATCTAGACAAACCCAAATGAATGGCCTATATATACGTGGTTCGCAGAAGGCTCAGTTTCTGCCTTGAATTTTCTTCCGGGCATCCGCCCACGGAGTACTGTTGTTAAATACATATGTCCTCTGTTTCCCATGGCTATTCCTTTTTGCTTCCGGCCCTACCAACATCTCGACCTCGTTCGGCCATTCATATACCCACCCACGTTGACCGCAAAGATAAGAAACCGTGGACCTAAACTTGGACAACCACAGCTCATAACACCAACCTGATCGTCTTATAAAGAACACGGCAAAAAACTGGCGAGAATAGATGTCTATTCTCACCAGTTAATGCGGTATGTACACACATGTCGAAACAAATACCAAGATCTGAAACCGCATGAGCCGGACAGGAGGACGGGAAATCTGACGTATTATTCATATGTTTTATGGGCAGCTAAGTATTTATATATCCCTTCACCTGTGGCTTTCTGTGGCTCTTTGTAGAGTGCCTATTAGGGGAGTAATCCATATGCTCAATCTACACCGTAAAACCATCAACCAGAAAAGAAGATAGGATTGTAGGTTGAAAAGATAATATGGATGGCGAGCCTAGAACCGCAGGCTGATAGGTTTTTCATCAGCCTCATCCTCCATAATCATGCCGCATCGGTTATGTACAGAGGCAGATATACAACTCACTTATCACAACTCAACTCGGGTAGTCAAGTCAACCGTGGATCGAGGCTCTATTCTAGCGATCGTATGGGGTTTGTCCTGCGGGTCGTGTCAAGTACAGACAGACTCCTGAGCGTGCGTTGGCCATCGATAATCTCATAGAGGTTTAAGAACACAGGCCACTGAGTACTACGCACCCGGTATGTAAGTTCGAAGGATCGATAGAAGATGTTGTGCGCACATTTCCCCCCTTGCGTTTTAAATCACGGTTATTCATCATTTATCCCTGGGAATCATTCAATAGAATGTATGCAGACATACATAATTTTTTGTTACACCCCAATTCATCAAACATGGATTCCAACGCAGCAGACTAAGGGTAGTTGTTATTTGTTGTTGGGGTGCGCGTTAAGCTAATCACGCCGCGGGCAGCCTAATTTAATTTTAAAAAAACCCTTCGTCCGGAATCCTCGACATTCGCTACAAATATCACTACCATCCATACGTAACACGGGACTATATTACGAATATATCTAATACGTATAGATATACAGATCATGCAGTATTCGTTTTAAAGGTTTTGATTGGCCAAGTTCAAGTTCCCATGGTTCCCGATTGCGCCCACCAATGCCGACCGCAACCGCTTTTGTTGATTTGGCCAGCCGGTACTATTGACAGTTCGGACTTCTTTCTAGAATTTCTTTTCTTGGGGGTCAGTCGAGCAACAGTGGAAACCTTATCTACGTATACCTAGTTGTTTGAGTCTTGAACTTCGAGTGCACAGGGCAGGTTAAGGCTTCCTGTGCTTCTTGTTAGTAAAGCTACAGATACTCAACTTCAGGCTATTCATGTCATACCACCCCCCACTCCGGCCTCCGGCCGAAAAACGCTTGTCTCAATTAAACTGAGATTGATTGGCAGCGACAATTAGCACCTAGCTCTGTGCAAACGTCTTTTCCCTCATCCGACCATATGGCCATACCCTAGTGTATCTTTATATAATACACAGTCTAGATCTGTCTCGAATACAGTACTTATATTATCACGACGTTGTTTCATTACTATGATCAACACCTATAGCCTAGAGAATTTAATTGGGAAGCTCTTACAGTTTTAGATAAGGCTCGATATATACATATATAGAACAATTATATATCAATGAGCCAGCATTTTATATAATTTAAGTATATACCGTAAACTCAATATACGTACGTCCGAGAAGTGTGTACTCTCGTAGGCTGACAGGACTTATATTATCAGATGCACTTAGATACATGATAAAATAAGCCTAATTTTCATACAAATCGATACTTACATGAACCTCTTTAATAACAAATTCCAGTATGAAGTCTACAAGTAATCTATCTATACTTATACGTACATAATGTAGGTACTCGAGGGACTGGCCTGTATCTCCCACTCAAAGTTTAGTAAAACTATATCCACCACTCAAAGAATACTAGATAGGCCTATAATCCATACCTACATTCTAGACATTAGGCTAGAAACTCTGCTCATGTTAATCAGTTGGATTCGAGTTACCTTCGCTAATTGCAATTTTTTGTTGGGTGAAAACAATCGAATGACCTCGTGATTGATCATGAGCTCTGATCAGGGGTGAATCGAAATATCAGCTAGGTACCAATAACAACTAGGACACTATATGCGGGAAACTCCAAATTATACGTTCGAGTATATATGTAAGGAGATCAGAGCACTCAGTACTTGAAAGAGAAATAGATGATGCCATGCATGCTTTCGCACCCCTATGGCTGCGGCCTTGCGTACCGTATAAGGCTGCATTTAGTACTCCGGTTGCGTCCTCGATCATCAAAACCTTCTCGGCCGTGATTATTGCACTAGCCTATATTAACTACATATAATTATATATAAACCTTTAGACAATTTTTGATACGTATACGCGCACACACTCTGTCATGCTAATCCACGTACGTACGTACACATGTGCTCCGAACTAAGAGCTCATATATGGGTTCACCTATTTTATAGAGAGAATATTAGGTATCCAAGCCTTTTGTATGTGGAATAGCAAGAGCGTTATCGATCCAGGTACGTGTGACCTGGGCTAATCCTGATAGTTGGGTGATACCTTAATTTGCACAACAAAAAGAGAGCCAATCACAAGAAGAGGTACAATGCAGCTGCGCAGAGCTTTCCGTCCAAGTGCTCGACTTTCTGTTCAACTCGTGCAGCCAAAGCCCTCTAGGTATTCCGACAGGCTTCTAATTACCCCGGCACTTTAGATTTGTACTCTAGATACCCTACTCTAGGCCTACTAAGGTTACTATATATATATATACGCCCACCTATAAATTTACATGCATGTAGTGTCCTACTTTACAGACTTCCTTCAAATACAATATATATGTACATGTAGCGGTGCAATTTCTTATCTCGACTGAGCTCAATATAGAGCTATCAGAAAGTGAGTGCTCAGATGCCTAGCTATATATCCAAGTATATTGTATCTGAATACCCATGTACCTAGCAAACCGGATATTTCAGCCCAACAATGGGGGATATATACACTCCGGTCCATTACTATAGATACGTTGGTACTAATGCATGTAGTTAGTATTTAGCCAATAAAGTCCATAGCCAACTCACACCAGAAGAGCGCATTTCCGGCCGGAGCAGCGGGACAAACAGCGATCAAAAAATTCCCTCCTGATTCACCAGCTA